ATAAATATTCATAAATATTTATTATTTATTTTTTTAAATATTATATAAATATTTTATACATATTTTCTATAAACATTATTCGAAAACATTTAAATACAGACTAAATACAGACCAAATATTTATATAATATTTATGATGAATATAAATAAATATTTCTGGAAAATACTTTTTACTGAGATTACAATGTCTTATTAAGTATTTTCATAGCATTTACTACAATATGTGTGAATAAATGTGTAAATATGTGTAAATATTTCATAATATATATAATAAATATTTCTGATCTGTATAATCTAAGATGACAGAAATATTTACAAAATATTCAAAATAAATCTTACAAATATTTTGTAAACATTTTATAAATATTATGTGCTGTTTGAGATATGACAAAAATAAGAAAGAAAAAATATAAATAAATTTAGGAAACTACAAATATAAAAAGATGTGATATTATTAAAAATATAGTCATTCTTATTTAAATTACGCAATTTATAAAAGACAATCATAAGAATTTTATTTTCGCATTTGTAGAATTTCTTTTTAGCTGATGTTATATATACGAGCAAGCCACAAATATATGTATAAATTATGAATTTTTATTTCTTTAATCATCTAAATAGATCATATTTTTATCGTATTAGCGTAATGTTTAGTTTCTGAAAAATAAGGGAGATCTTTAGAAAATCTATCGGCGACTTTCCTTTCAAAATGCAAAGAGATACACGAGATTTCAAAGTAATAACAATTAATGATCCTGAATTGCGCGAATTATAAATATAAAGTTCCAACTATCAACGACATTTGTGAAGACGAGCAAATAAGTAAACGTGCAAAGTGACTCCACTTGGTGTAATCGCATTCACACTTAAGGTTACAACTATACTTACGCTCTTGTATTGCGGATAGTGCTTATCAATGTAGGAAACCGCGATGTGCGTGGCGTGCGAGACGTCGTCGGCGGTGCTCGACTCACTTCGCTGTCTTCTGCTCTCCTCCATATCTAAAACCTCGTCACTATAGGAAAAAACATGAGAGACTAAGTACGTCGAGCTGTATTTAAGGTCTTTCGACCGCGCGATATTCGCAGAACACGATTATTCGCGTTGTCAAAAGGAGTTACACAGATGAGAGAAAAAATATTTTTATCAAATTAAGATTAAACGAATAGAAAATATTTAACGAGATACATAAATCTCGAAAAAATATTTTTATAAAGATCGTGAGCAAACATTAAAAAATAACAAGAATTATAAAAATAATCATAAAAGGACATTCAATAATATCTGAGGAGAAGGAAAAATAAATATATGCGACTAAAATAATATCTTCACGTAAGAAAGAAATTAATTATAATTAATCTAACGATGTCTAATAGTGTCAAATGTTCATTCGACCGGTGCATCTGTACCCTAAAATCAAAGGAAGGGCTGATCTTCCAATTAGGGCAATGTGTTACCATCTCTCTTGTGCACGGGTTGCATTTTTTTTTGGTGACATGCTGACGACAAGTTCGGAGAGAGAAACAATTGAAAGCGTTAGTTACCACCTCGAGTTGCTGCGCTTGCTCGCGTCTTGTTTGCCGGCCTGCAAATTCGGCAGGTCCTTCTGACGTTTCTTCGTCTCCAGCCAGATCCGCCAGTAAAGGAACGTCATTATCATGACAGGAACATAAAACGCGGCGATGGCCGTGCCGAAGGTGATGTAATGATTCGTCTCGATGAATTGGATGTAGCACGAGGCTTTCGGCACAGTCCTTTGACCCTCGATATACGGCCATGCGTAGATCCAAGGTGGCCAAAGAAGCAGCGATATACCCCAAGCGGATCCTGGAACGTTCATTATGTTGTTGTCTGGAGTAGTTTTTAATGAACATTTGGTTATATTTATTGCAAATTTTATTTTATTTTTTAACAAACATATGACTGTAAAAAATTCGAGAACTCCAGACTCTTATTCGAAGAATTTGTTTTTATGTATCTATTAATATTAAAAAGATCCTAGTTTAGAACGAAACGTTTGTTAAAAATTTAAAAGACATTAAATAAAATTAACTATCAAGAATCAGCGTTGGCTCTTTTTACCTTTTATTATTGTTTTCAACTGAGCCTAATAATTCAATTCTTATTCGAAGGCTTTGGATGATTATTTATCGCGAATATTAATTTAGACTTATCTGCTAAATATAAAGTAACATTATATTAATTTGTAATTTCTCACTAACAATATATTATATAAAACACATATTGCGCGCGCGCGTGTGTGTGTGTGTGTGTGTGTGTGTGTGTGTGCACGATAATTACATTATTGAGTAGAAAATTATATACGAAAAAAAAAAACAATTTTGCTGAAGCATAAAAAAATTTAGTTAAATACAGATCTGAAAATAATTTTGTTGGACCAAAACAATTATGTAGAATATTCAAACGTTGACGGCAATGTTGCGAAAAGTTTTAATTCTAGTCAACAATTTAAGCGTCCTATATAATTATTTTGATAGTCCAAACAAAATTATCTTCAGATCTGTATCAATTTTTAAATACTTTGGTAAAACTTCTTTCTGTAACATTGATGTAATGTGTTACTTTATGGTTAGCGGGTGTATTGAAGCATACTTTCGAGGCTTTCACGGATATTTTCTTTAAGGAAGTTATGCGAGGTTTATGGGTTACCTCTGTGACTTGATACATCGTTAAATGCCAACGTTTCGTGAATATTGCAGATCACTTATCAGGGCGAGAAGCAACCTTATACTGATCAGTATCAGATTGCTTCTCGCCCTGTTCAAGCGAACTATAACGTTCACGATACTACAATGTTCACGAAACGTTGGCATTTAACGATGTATCAAGTCACGGAAATAACCCATAAACCGCGCAACTTTCTATAATATATTGGAATACGTTAATTTATTATAAACACGATATAAATTATTTTATCAATGTCTACTCGAACTTTTTAAAAAAGAATGGCTTAAAAATTTGTTGATTTTTCAGGCAAAAATGAAGCAGTTTTAAATCGCAATTAATAAATTATATATAACCTTTAGTACACAATTGGATCATTCATGTGCTGCGCATTTCTTCTCTTTGAAATACCAGGAGTACCAAGTATAATTAGTTACAACATTTATGTATAATTTTTTAAATACAACTTTACAAATACATTTTTACGATGTTAAAGTTGATATATTCGTAAAAGTGACACAAAATAATCGGAACACGAACGATTCATCGTGTGAATTAAGAATTAAAAAGGAAAATCTCCGAAGAGAGACAATTTTGACAAAAATTTCTTGAATCTCGGAAATTCTCTTTCGAGAATTCTATGATTTCTCCAGACGGAAAAACATTTCAGGTTTCCCAACAATTTTTTTTTACGTCTCACCCCATTTCATAAATTTAATATATACTCACCGATCATGACGGAGGCTTTGAAGGTGGTCCTCTTGGCCCGATAAGTAAGCGGACGCGTGACGGAGAAATATCTGTCGAAGCTGATGATGAGCAGATTAAGGACCGACGCATTACTCGCGAGATAGTCGAGGGCGAGCCACGTGTCGCACACGAGGGGACCGAGCGGCCAATAACCGAGTACCGTGTATATCGTAAAGAGGGGCATGGAGATTAGGCCGATCGCGAAGTCGGCCACCGCCAGGCTGAAGAGGAAATAATTGGAGATCGTCTGCAAATTCTTATCAATCTTGAATGATATCATGACCATAATGTTGCCGACGACCGTGGTGAGACTGAGGATGACGGCGATCACCACTATCGTCACACGCTCCCATATCGCGTATTGATGGGGCTCACCGCCACAGTCGAGACCGTTGCTGATGCTGTAGTTGTCATTGCCGGGTATCTCCACCATCGGAGTAACGTTCATGTCTGACGGACTATCTCTCGTCCTCTCTCCCTGTCTCTTCTCTCTTTCTCTCTCTCTCCCTCTTTCTTCTCTCTCTTTCTTTCTCTTTATTTCGTTAATTCAGATAATTTCGACAGTCCCAGTGCCTTATCTATATCCTCGGGGTGCCTCCGGTTCGCGCGGGCAATCGCGCGTTCTTTGATCCTCTCGCGAACGGATCCCTGGAGCTCGTACGCCCACGCGGCCGTGCGCGCGCACGCACGCCCGCCCGCACGCACGCACGCACGTACGCACGCACGCACGTACGCGCGAACGCGCGAACGCCTGCACGCTTCCGATACCCCTCGTCGCCGTACACCGGGATTCGGCGAACGGCACCACCTTCACCGATGCTACCGTCGCGATCTCTTCCCTTCTCCACCACCTCCTCTTCCTCGTTCTCCTCGTCGTCGTCGTTCTCCTCGTCTTCGTCTTCCTCCTCCTCTTCCTCCTCCTCCTCCCCCTCTCCCTCCTCCTCCTCCTCCTCCTCCGCCGCCGCCTCCTCCTCCCCCCCTTCCTCCTCCTCCTCCTCCTCCTCCTCTTCCTCGTCCACCGCCTCCGTCGTCGTGCTCTCGCTAGGTGGAAGGTAGTGTCAACTACATCCCACGTTTGCTCCTCTCGGTGGAGACATTGAGTCTACGAGAAAAGACAAAGCAAATATACCGAAAAATTATATCAGAAATTATTAGCATAGTAACATTAATGGGGTCATATCAATGATCGGAATCAATATTTACTTTCTCACAGATATTCGATACATTATAGTTCTCCGATATATTTATATTTCATTCGACGTTTGCTTCTAAGCAAATATCAATAACTGTGAGATACATGCAGAAACGTTTCCTCATGAATACTTCTGTGCGATGACAAAAGGGAATTTAAAGTATAAACTAATACGTGACTTTTATTAAAATCTGTATAACCGAGATTAACTTCCCTGCTACTGCCGAGATACAGCTATTCATTCGACACAAGTACTCGTATCGCGCGACAGACGACTTGCCTTAATCCTCGTCATCGCGCTTTAGAGACACTAGTGGCATATTAAAAAAAAAAAAAGGAAAAAAACGAGACGAAGAAAGAAGAGAGAGAAAGTTCTTTTGTCGTACTTCGGCACGGCATGAGACTACTGTCAAGCGTACCGCGAAAAGCGCAACCAATGCCGCGGGGCTTCCACTCTGTTTCCCTCAATTCGCGCGAAAGACTTTGCACTTTTTCTCTCCTCTCTCTTGACCGCCACTTCATCTTTAAGGGGATCCTAAAATCGTCTGTTTTACCGATTCAGGAGGACTTACACATATACGATTTACGTGTCACTAACACATCGCATTAAAGTAAATGCCCCAGTGATCGGACATGTAGCTATTTAACAGTGTATGTCCGGATAATTACACAAAATTTATTATTATTAATCTCAAACGTTTCTTTTATTACAATATTATTATAATTATAATGTATTTAAAGATTACAATTAAATTATAATATTATATGTATTTAAAAAAAATGTTTAGGATAGTAATGGTATAAATAAAGTTTTGCGTAAAATACACTGTTAAATTTAACTAATTTTAACTTGTCACTCTGTGTGTGTGTGTGTGTGTTCTTACTCAATGTATTGTTATTTTATACTAAAGTAATGAATGAATTTAACACTGTATAGTTAAATTTATTGAGCAGGAGCGCAGTGGCGATTTAAATTAGTCGAATTTGACACTATAGAATTAACAGTGTAGATACATTTCCGGTCACTGGAACGTTTACCATATTACATCGATATTGCATGTGCAAATTTTCGAATTAATTAATCCTTCGTATTAGATACCTCAGTCTAGATATCGTTAAGAGATTGGACACCGTTTAGACCACTTCTGATTGGTCTATCATATTTTTCAAGACTTACTTAAGATATCATAAGATGCATGGATATCTCATTCTATCTTAAAGATTCTGAAAAATATGATGAACCAAACGTATGGTGTTCAATCTCTTACTTGAGGATCTCTACCTAAGTCTAATTCTAACAACTCATGTTTGATCAATCCTAGTCCAAACTAAGATTGTTTTATACGTATATAAAAGTACAAAACTTTTATTTAAAAAAATATCGTTACGAATTGACGCCAGAAATCGATAAAAAAATTAATTCTCCAACTCCTTTTCGGCATAAAGTCGACTGATTTGGACTACGTTATCGTTTACTCAATTATATATGTGTATATGGAAAGAATTTTTAAATCTTCATATAAGGGCAGTTAGAAAAATACTTATTTGAAAAATAATGGATAAAACAGACGACTTGAAGATCTCCTTAACGAGCTACTTATTCATCATTAGCGAGCAAACCGGACGTGTTCGAAATGCATCTCAAACTTATCAAGCGTTCGCACTTCCGTTTTTGGAGTACAAACTATAATGTGTTTACTCTGCGATTTCCGCGTGTCAGCTTCTATACGCCACTTATCGAACTTGAAAGCGAGAGAATGGATTATCGATGATCAGTTAGATCCTTTTTTTTCGCTAACGCGCAGTAATCTCCTGAATCTTAATTCCGACATGATAGAAAATATGAAAAAGACATGATAGAAAATATGGAAAAATCTCTCGCGCGTCTGTTACACGAATAAAAATTCCATTAAGGAAACTTTCCGATCCGACGTTGCATTTCTCCGTCAACAAGATTTACTTGTTCCGTTAAAAAATTCAAAAAGACAAAATTAACTTATGCCACGACTTCGGACATGTACTGAGAGGTTCGCTGTAATAAGCGCGTTTTAATACGGAAGTAACACCATCGAAGCAGCTTGCGCAGAAAATGTCGAGCCGAAGTTTCGAACCTGTTATCGTCTAGAATCACACAATTCGATCGCGTTCCTCTCGTGCGCTCATCTCGTCGTCGAAAACATGAAGATGCCTACTCGCGGGGATGCGGCGGCGGTCCAATTACGGACGTATTTCACTTGCTGACTTGTCTATTTAAACGCGCGCCGCTTCGCCGTGGCGGTCTTAATATACTCGGAGGGAATTTTGCGTGTCACGAATTAGATCCGCCTGTGCAACGGCGCATCCGAAAGAGCTGTGCCAAGACAGTTAATTTGCACAATTAACTGACATTTGTAGGCAGACGAAATAGAGACGGCAAATAAAATGCGTTTAATAAATAATTTTCTCTCATAGCTCGATGATCAAAGAGTTCTTATATCGAATAAAAAAAAAAGGTATAAAAAAAAGGTTCAAAGACTTAAAATGTATTCTCGATTCGAAATTCGATTAATTCTGCTTCATTTTCAAGAATATTGAAACATCACTAGTTTTACGTATCGGGAAGGTTAAAGTAAATTAACCTCCGGAGATGAGAATCAGTAAGCAAAGTTTAGTCTTAATTCAATTTCAGGTGGATTTTGCTGTAATAAATCAGTTTTGTTGTTGTGGAATTAAAGTTTAACTACCAATTAAAAGAGATTCAAAAATTCTTCAGAATTTTCCGCCTCCTGATTCTCCGCCGAAGAGACCCACGGCCTTCCCGATTGAAGGATTTCTTCGAAAGAATTTCGCCAAAAAATTTCGTCTTGTCTTTACCGCGTGGGAAACACTGGGGTAGAGGACATACTCGAAGGAAGTAACGTACTCGATAACTGCCATAATTGCGACAGATTCCTCATCGAATGCGGCCAGTTCGATATCCCTGGCGAGGCGGTCGAACTGCTGCTGCGGCAAGGGCGTGGAAGGATGCATGTTGCGCCAGGTGTGCAACGCGATTACCTCCCTGTTAAGTGCGCATGGCATGCTCGACGCCTGTAATTATAGAAATGCCAGCGATATTTAAATCTTTTTGCGACAATATCGTGCAAGAATATATACTTTAGGTCTATCGCGAATACTGGATAGCGGATAGAATTTAACGTTAAGGTGGATCAACTTCTTGAGAAGAGACAGAGGGACATTTTTTTTTTAAATTCAATATTAACTATTATAATTAAATTTTAATAGATAAACTTTTTTGTAATTATTAATAAAATACATGAACAATATTCTGTTATTATACTTGTAAATAATTAATATTTAATTTACGTAACATCATGTGAGATCATAACAAAAGTTACATCAAGTTACAAGATGATATTTTATTTTTTAAATTGTACTTTTCTATCGAATGTATTTTATGTTATTGTATGTTAATATTTGGAGTTTAAATAAAATATTATAAGATTCTTCGCATGTTAAAAATTATACTTCACAAAAATTATACTTATTATTTTCATATTGAAAAGAGGGACAATTCATAATCATGTCCAATTGGGGACAAAAATTTTCGAATACGTTTTAGGACTGTCTCTCCTAATTTGAGATGATTGGTCATCTTAACAGCCTACCTCTCTGAAAATTGAATAATTCGCATTTGAAATTCCAGACAATTGTCTGGAAAATATTTAAAAGGACTCTTACATTATCATCTATATTCCGTAACTGTCTGGTACAATATTACAATCGTGCGACATATAAATAAGTTCTCGTCTGTCCCGAAGTTTAAATAATACACGCCTTCTCCTTTTAATCTTCAGATTCATCCAGTGTTCGCGCGAAACCCAAAATTAGTTTCTCTTTACACGCGAACGGAGAACTGTCGAGAAATCAACGATATTACTTGGCTGAATCAATGGCGTTTTATGCCGGTCGACATTTACCGCGAGAACAAAAGCGCACGTACTTCGCCGTTTGTTATTCGTTGGTATTAACGTTTCCGCGGACAGTGTTTCTCGTACGACGAGTAGGCGCGAACTTCAGTATCGAGCTTCTCGTAACGTTTGCGAAGGTCGAACGGCGTTCGCGTCCGCCTCGAGATAATCGGAAGCGAGTGACGGGACGTCGTTCGAAAATCGATGCGGGCTTGTAATTTTTACCTTACGCCGTCTAACGATGGCATTGAATTGTTCATCCCTCTAGGTAGCCTCATTTCATTATACGCGGAACGTATAAAATAGCTCGGCGAATCAAATTTCTTAATAATGATATCTTTAACATTTAATGTTACATTTCTTTCCATTTTATCAGTCATTTTATCTTTTATATCGTTCGTACGACATGATCAAATAAGATTCGGTTACACAGATGTAAGATTAATTTTAATCTGCGATTAATTTAATCTCAGTTTAATTTACTATCTATCTTCTTTTAATTCTTCTCTCGAAAT